CCGTTATTACACTCTTAAATCCTACTACGTATTCCTGCGGCTTTTGTGATCTTACAAAGCTTCAAACGAAGCGTCGACTATTAAATTAGTCGTCGACGATTTTAATAGTCGACGTAATCGTGACTAGTCGACTAATCGTGGCAGCCCTAATTCACAGGTCTGCTTGATGTAAGGCATGAATGAGTAAATGAAACTATGAATTTATGTTGACATACAGAGTTGCAGGTGGGAGTGTCACTGCTCTGTGTGGAGCTCTGTCATCCTGTTATCTGTGGTGTCACTATTCACATGATGAATCCACGTTCAGTTGTGAGTATTTGTGGTCCTTGACATCCCCCTACAGTTCATGATCTGAGGTTTTTGTACGGGTGTTGAGTGTGACTGTATCACTGTGAATACTGACAGCACAGAAATACAAGCCTTGATCTCCTGGCACCAAATTCTTCACTGTCAGTGTCCCACTGCGAGCATCAGGCTTTGTTACTGAGAATTTTTCATCCCTGAAGTCTGGCTCAAAGTCAGGTTCGGCGTTTGGGATAGTGTAAACCATTTGTTTCATTGGTTCTCCAGGCAGCTGTCTGTACCAGTACATCTGGTAAAACTCTATTGTCATGACATGGCTGCAGTTTAGAGTTGCATCTTCACCCTGGTTTTTCCAAAGCATGGAGGCCTGGTTGATATAACTTCCATATGTTCGACCTGTAATGATGCACATTATTATAGGTTTTTTATTTTCCTTTCTACTATTTTTAGCATTAAAAAACTGTTTTGTTATCCAAAATTTCTTAGAACAAAATAACTGTCGATTTAAATAAGTTGTTTCAAAATGTGGGAGTGTTACTCAATAAAATTCAATCACATGGCAGAAGCTCAGTTGGATTAAGCATGTTGACCAGGTTGTGACAAACTGCTGAAGTTCAAATCAATCAGCATCAGAATGGGGAAGAAAAGTGACTTTGAACAGATGATCTTAAACTGGTTTCTTGAATATCACAAAGAGCTGACTGTACTAAAATGACCTCCACAGTCACCAGATTTCAGTCACATAGAGAACATTTGGGATGGAGTGGAAAAGGAAATTTGCATCTTGAATCTGCAGCTGAATGTTTTTGCAATTTCCATTAAAGCTGATTTTCCCTTTGCACATTGTCCTCAGTGTTTGAATAATCCAGACTGAAGGTATCCTAGATACTGTAGATCCTGAAAGAAGTTAGCTGTGAGGTGCTCAGGAGCCTTAAGGCTTTTTTTGGTGTGTTGGGCAGATAAGAGAAAGGGTTTTTGTACTGACTTTACAGTGAACTGCAGCACTGTGCTGACTGGCAGCACAGAAATACACTGCACTGTCATTTAACTTTACATTATAAATGGTGAGTGCTGACTTTTCACGGCCATCTCCATCAAAGCTGATATTTCCACTCAGATTGTTTTCTTTTTTTGCCACCTGGATGTTGAGATTTCCCAGAATCTCCAAAGTTTGATGTTGGTCTTGTTTGTACCAGAGAATGACCTGATAATTTGGTATGCTATGTCAACATTTGATTTCACTTTGAACAGATTCACCAATTCTCCTAATGATGGAAGGAGGTGTTTGGTAGACACTTTTTCGCATCACCTGTGTAAAAGTACACAAGAGTTTAAACACAGAAATCATTAAATTTGAATTGTATTGTTATCATTGTTATTTTCCTACCTGTAATTCCTGGAAAGTTAAGAAAACAAAGTATAGAAACCACAACGATCATCTTAAACAATTCAAGCTAGCGATCCTTTCAGTATAGTTGGTTCACCAGCTGTAGATGAGAATAGATCGCTGTTACCAGATGATGACCATAGGAGGTGTGAGGAGTTGTCTACGTCATTGCTTTCACTAGAAGAGAAAAGTGCTGTCATCATACGACAGTCTGTGCAAGTGATTATTTCATTTATTGAGGTCTGTCTCCACCTACTGTGGTAAGGGCACTGCAAATGAAGTAGATTCCTCTTTCTTTAGAAACTAACTCGCAGTGTGGCTGATTATTCAGCTCAGTGGATCTCCTTTTATTTTATTTTAGTTTGACTGGATCTGAAAAAAAAAAGTTAACATGACCAGAAGTGGACACTTTAACTATCATATAGTAAAGCATTTACAATTTTAAACACTTGCTAATTATTTCTCTTTCATACATTTAAGGCACAAATATCATACATTTGTCTTTTTGCCTTGTACAATTAAAAGCTATAGAGACATGTTTTTGATTTATAAAGTCAGAATATAAAGAATAACTGTCACAGATAAAAAGCTGCAGGTGCATGTATTGTGTGGTGGGTACCACAGTAGAGGAGATTAGTAGGTAAGACTTTGACAGTGTGCTGGGGTTTTTGTTCAGCTACTTGGTGCATCTGTATCACTGTGTTTGCTCACAGCACAGAAATACAAGCCTTTATCTGTAGGCTCCAGATTCTTTATTGTGAATGTCCCAGTGTAAGCGTCAGGCTTGGTGGCTGCGAATTTCTCCCTGCTGAAATTTCCAAAATCATGATCAGGTTTTGCTGTACTTGTGAACACAACGAGTTTCATAGTTTCTCCAGGCAGCTGTCTGTACCAATACATCTGAGAATAGTCTACACTCTTGGTATGTCTGCAGTTTATGGTTCCATCTTCGCCCTGTTTTTTCCAAATCGTGGAGTTTTGGGTGACATCACTCCCATCACCTACGAGTTTAACAGAAGATGTTACCACACACAACCTTTTATATGTAGCATAGTGTTTCACTCAAACACTGTCAAAACAAAACAAAACATTCACAACAACTGCAAAAACATTAAAAATGTTGATCAGACTGCAGATTACCTGAATCCCACTTTAAAATGAAGAATAATCCGAGGATGACTTTGTTGAGAACTGTATTCATGTTCTGTTGGACAAAAGGTGTCAGCATCGTATATACTGTAGGTACAGAGATATGTAAAGCTGCTGGTGAGACTGTCCCTCTAGATTATATTGTCCCCAGATTCTGAGGAACTGCTCTATATGTAGCAAGACTTTCAGTCCAACTGCAGATGTAATATAATTGGTACTCTGGTTCCCCCTACAGTCCATCAAAGCCATTTTACTTATGTTATCATTCGAAATTCATAAAAAATAAACTAATATCTTGTAATTAAAAAATAAATAAATACTGTCTGCTGTTACTTTTATGTTGCTATGGGTTTTCTAGCTGTGAAATAAAAGTTTACACAGCAGTCCTTCTGTGTTTTACTCAAATCACAGTGACTAAATAGGATCAGTTGAAAGGGTGGTGAAGGTATTTTTAATAATATCCTCAAGCAAAACAAATGCATGGCTTCATGGATTCAATCTTCCTTTTTTGTTTTTGTCAGGATGGGTTATCAGAGAAAATTACTTGATATTGCAGTTTTTTTTAATACACTCATTTATTATAACAATACAGTATTGTTGTTGTTTTTTTTTATTTACAAAGGCTACACATAGCAGTGTGAAAACTGTTTCCTGTCTCCCTTTCACCGTGCTGTCCACTTGATCAGTTGTCTCCTCTTTGCTGCACCACTAACTAAAGCCACTTAAGTCATTTACCAACATATATCTGCATGTAGTTTATGGATTAATAACTAAAAGAGACGGTTTGGTCCAGTAGATGGCGCTGTTTACATATTTTTACACAAAGTGTTGGAAAATGGAATGAAATCCTGAATGTTGTTTTCTAAACACCCTGCTCGGTCGATCTGCCTTTTAAATCATAGTCTCTGTGGACTTTGCTTGTGTGTCTAAAAAGAAAAAACAAGCTGTCCATAGACAAATGAGAACATATCCTTTACAAGCTGACTGAGTTCTGGCTCTGTTTTTGAGTTATTAGAAACTGACTTTGAATAGACAAGTACAGCATTATTCATTTCCATTTTATTCTGACCCCCTGCTGTTTTAAAAGCCAAACTTGTCCTCTAATCTCCTGGTCTCACTCCCTCTGCGGTTCCTGCGAGTCAAAGTGGATCGTGTTGGATCACATATTTATCCTCAGAGCTGTGGTTGGTTTTCAGGCATATTACAAATATACACAATTCAGAGACATGTGAGATTTTGCACACAAATAATGAATTGTAAGGCTGCACCGCTGAGAATCCAACTAAGAAAGGCTCCATAGGAGATCAGGTACAGATGGTCCCTTAAACTAGGCTGAACATTTAAAAGTACAATTTTTAGATAAGCAAAAACATCTAATTGGATCACTACAAAACCATTTTTAAGAATTACAATAATCTCATTTGCTACCTGATATTAAGTTAAGATATAACTAGCAGATTTATGGAAATAACAAGAGGGAAAGAAGTTACAGGAACTCTACTAAACATTTTGGACATGCTGGAAGTGTTCTAACTTTCTTGTTTGCCAGGCAGTGTGTCACGGTACACTTGTGTGTTAAAATTAAAAAAAAGAGGCTTGGTTGATGGTGTGGAAATAAATCCAGCGTTTTTACAAGCTATAAACTATGCAAAGAATGTGTTGCAAACTTTTTCCACTATTCCCACAATCTCCCCCTAGTGCTTTTACAAAATAACAACACAATGACCACAAAATGCCTCATACATGCAGGATAAATATAAACTATAATCTACTTTTAATATCATTTTTTTAGTGTCATTTTGCTGGAGAGCCTAAAGAAGTAAGGTAAAAGTAAGAGTCAGAACCTGTACCTAATGGAGTTAAATTTTGGTGCTCTGAGTTTGAATAATTATCATTTTTGAGCTCTGAGTATTAAAATGTCTTTGCATAAATAATATCTGTGCGTGCTTTGAGTAACAGCAATTGCATTGATAAGATGGTTTGGCGTTTGTGGTTTTCTTGTTTTGTGTTAAAGATTTGTTATTTAAAAGTAAATTTTCAATGCTGTGAGCACCAGATTTATATTCAAAACAGTTTTGTAGCATATTTTTTGTTGCTTTAAATTGAATTGACTCGTTACACACTGATTATTGACCACCATCAATCAAAACTGACACGTTGCTCAGGTGAAAGTGTTGAATACAGTCTTATTGTGCAACGGGATGCCCTCTGCTCCTCTGAACTCCTCTGCGATGTCATCAAATGTACGACCCTTTGTTTCCGGGAGGCGAATCCAGGTGAAGGTGAAGGCGAGCAGAGCCACGATCATAAAAAGGAGGTAGACATAAGCACCACAGATTTTCTGTGTGAGACAGACAGACAAGAATCCCTTTTTTAATGTTTTTTATTTGACCTCTGCTTACCTAGGAATGGTCACTTGAGGTGGGAATCTCATACCACAAGAGCAAAACAATGTTAAAAAGAGAAGGAAAGAAAGCAAATACAAAAGGTATTGATTTGGTTCACTGGTCTTAATTTCATGTTGGCTGCCGTTTCTGCTGCACTATAGGGAACAGATGCTTCTTTTGTTAACTGTAATTTAATTACTTATTACATTATTTCAAGCTGGATTTAAAGGATTTAGCAATAGATTTATATGTTTTGCTATAGATACAGATGTGCAGTATAACAGATGGAGCAGATTTATGGCCTGTATTTAACAGCTATTTCTCTGAGGTGTAAGCAAACTCACAAAAGCAAACAAGAAATCCACCTTTAAAGTTTCCCCTGAAGTCTTGCTTGGTCATACAGCATGCAGGCCAACGGTATAAATGTTACGCACCAGTAATGGAGGAAAGAGAAGTGCCAGAACAAACTTCCCTCCCCAGTTGAGCAGGCTACTGAAGGCCATGGCTATAGGTCTGCCAGACTGGTCGAACAGCTCGGCAGCAATGAACCAGGAGATCGGACCTGGGCCCAGCTCATAGGCTGAAGTCAGGCAGAAAACCAGCAGCACTTGTAGGCTTCTGAGTTCTGGGACCAGATGCTATAGTAAAATAATAAATTGGAAGGATGGTTGTAGGTTAGTCATGTAGACATGTAGAAAATTCTGTTAGGTTAACATGTAGATGGTGTCTTTCTCTCTATTGTTTAAACTTGAAGCTTCCTTTTTAAAACATCCTCCAAGCTATGCCATGGTTTATTTTTCATATTATCCATTTAATCATGTCATAAGATCGGGTTTGCAGAAGTTGGATATACATTCAAAACCAGCACATAACTTTTTTCTGCACAAATGGAAACAACCACACATAGATGATTTTACCAGGACAGAATCGACTACGGTCATGATTAAGTTGCACACTGCTATGGAGATGAAACCAGTCAGGAGCAACCGCCTCCTCCCTGCCCTCTCCATCAGGAAGAACTGGAGAGGAAAAAACAACACACTGGTATTAAAATGCAACACTATCCCTTTTGTGGTTCATGCTGTTAAACCATTCATGAAGAAATAATGACAAAACTTCATGCTTTCTGTGACAAAATCAACAAAATAGGGCACAGCTGATTTAATGATTATATTGAGCAACCTATTAAATATAATAAATAATATTGTTTCGCATTCAAAAACACACTGAACTGCAATATAAAGGATCAGCACTTGGTTTGTACTTACTGCTACCAAAGTGAACGTCAGATTGACGGCCCCAACACCCAGTGTGAGATATTTGGCCTGGTCAAACTTGGCCTGAAACATTTTGGTGGAATAGTTGATTATCTGGAAGAAAAGCACAGGAATTTAGTTTAGTTTAGTGAGTAACTGAGAAATATTTCAATGGGGGGTTTTTTAGGGTTGAGATATTGCCTCAAGCTCTTCTCAGGGTTACAGCAAGTGTGCAAAACTGAAAAAGAAAAGAAGCCAATGTAGAAATGCCAAGTACTCCTTGAGGCACCCTCCAAAAGTGAGTAAGCCACCTTTCCATCCAGAGGAAAGAAGCTAAAAATCCCCACAAAAGGGATGGGTGTCTTCATGTAAGATGGAACTGGCCAGTCTCTGCAGCTGTCAGGTACAGAGAGACTGGTAAATAGCAGCTTAACCTGATCAGTTTGCCTGATCAGTTCATATTTTGCATCAGTTTGTTGGTGTCTTTCAGAGTTAGGTTACCATAGCATGACACCAAGGAAAAAGGTAAAGCTAAAGTTGAGGCCAGGAGCTTTTACTTCATCTATTTCAACACATAGAAAATGAGAAATATATGTCAGAGAAATATTTTTCAGATTAAGAGGATTTTATCACTAACCGCATTGAATCCAGAGAGCTGGCTTCCCAGGCTAACAATCAGGACAATAATGATCGGTTGCCTGTAGCTGCGTTTCTTGAAGAAATCCTGGATGGTGACACGACTCTGTGTGTGAGCAGCTTCCTCTTTCATTTCTTCCAGCTCAGCAAATACATTTTCTGCTCTGCCTCTCAGCCTCAGCAGGGCTGCAGGATTAAAGAAACAACTTTCAACATATTCTAAGGGGATGTTTAGGTGAAATCCACAAAGCTGGGATAGTAAACCGTAGTAAACCATTTCTGCATTTTAACTTCTGGAACTAACTTGAGAATGTCATACAAATGAATTCATCTCTTTTAATATATCATAATACAAAAGAGTAATCTCTTTAGAGAGAGGATGATTTATTAAACGATATGAACAGTAAGTCCAGTGAGTGGAACCTACCACTTTTGGCCTTGATTTCTTCTTGCCGGTTGATGAGCAGATAGCGGGGACTCTCAGGACAGAAGGGTAGGATCACATACTGTGTGAGGGCCGGGATGAGAGACAGGGACAGCATCATGGCCCAGTCATGCTTTGTGCCCAACACTATCTCGAGACCAGCCACCTGCAGCACACGAGCAGCTAGTTTCAAGTCATATCCATGTATCGTATAAATCCTTATTTGTGTATTATGGGATTTTGATGAACTTAAATAAAAACAACAGATTTTGAATGAAAACAATGGAATTTGAATGAAATGAACATAATTTGAATAAAAGCAAAAGAATTTGAATGAAAACAACAACATTTGAATGAAAACAACAACATTTGAATGAAAACAACGGAATTAGAATGAAAAGAAGAGAATTTGAATGAAAACAACAGAATTAGAATGAAAACAACCAAATTTGAATGAAAACAACCGAATTAAAATGAAAAGAACAGAATTAGAATGAGAAGAATCGAATTTGAATGAAAACAACGGAATGTGAATGAAAAGGACAGATTTTGAATGAAAACAAAAGAATTAGAATCAAAATAATGGAATTTGAATGAAAAGAACGCAATTTGAATGAAAACAAAAGCATTAGAATGAAAGCACGGGAATTTGAATGAAAACAACCGAATTAAAATGAAAAGAAAAGAATTAGAATGAGAAGAACAGCATTGGAATAAAAACAAAAGAATTTGAATGAAAACAACGGAATTAGAATGAAAGCACGGGAATTTGAATGAAAACAACAGAATTGAAATGAAAACAACGGAATTAGAATGAAAAGAAGAGAATTAGAATGAAAAGAACAGCATTTGAATGAAAACAACAGAATTAGAATGAAAACAACGGAATTTGAATGTAATCTGAATGAAAACAAAAAAAAATAGAATGAAAGCACCAGAATTTGAATGAAAACAACGGAATTAGAATGAAAAGAACAGAATTTGAATGAAAACAACGGAATTAGAATGAAAACAACGGAATTAGAATGAAAACAACGGAATTAGAATGAAAACAACAGAATTTGAATGAAAACAACCGAATTAAAATGAAAAGAACAGAATTAGAATGAGAAGAATCGAATTTGAATGAAAACAACGGAATTAGAATGAAAAGAAGAGAATTAGAATGAAAAGAACAGCATTTGAATGAAAAGAGTAGAATTAGAATGACAAGAACAGCATTTGAATGAAAACAACAGAATTAGAATGAAAACAACGGAATTTGAATGTAATCTGAATGAAAACAAAAAAAAATAGAATGAAAGCACCAGAATTTGAATGAAAACAACGGAATGTGAATGAAAAGAACAGAATTTGAGAACAAACAATAGAATTTGAATGAAAACAACGGAATTTGAATGAAAAGAACAGAATTTGAATGAAAAGAAAAGAATTAGAATCAAAAGAATCGAATTTGAATGAAAAGAACATTCTTTTTCTCTCAACAGGTGATCCAGGAGATTCCCCCCCCCCCCTTTCTCACTGTCCCTCTCCCCTTCTGTTTTTCTTTTCCTTCCTCTTTCTTTCTCCCTTTCCTATCCCTCACTCATGTCTGTCCCGTATGTAACAACTGAAAATAAAATAAAATAAATAATAAAAACAAAGATCGATCAAATGGACCAATACGGCAATGCCACGATGATCCATTTGGCAAAATAAATCCATTGGGTATCCTTGTTGGTCTTCAGACAACAATTCTGACGGCTAAAGAACCAAATGGGACAGGCAAAAAAAAAAAAAGAATGAAAAGAACAGAATTTGAGAACAAACAATAGAATTTGAATGAAAAGAACAGAATTTGAATGAAAAGAACAGAATTTAATGTGTCTCCTTACCAAGAGCAGTAAGAAGTAAGTTAAATGTAAGCTCAACTCACCACACCCACCAGGATGCCTGCAGCGAAAGACACCTGGTTCAGTGTAGCAAATGCTCCTCTGAGGTTGGTGGGGGAAACTTCCTGGATATAGAGGGGGTTAAGGCTCATCACCAGGCCACAGAACAGACCAAAAACCAGTCGCCCTAGGATGAGTACCTCAAATGACTCGCTGGCTTTGGAGGCAAACATCAAACATGCTCCGACCACAGACAAACCGTTAACTATCAGGATGGAGTTACGCCTGGAGGGGAACAAGCAAATTTATAAGGAGGGGTGGGGGGAAGCAAGCACTGTTGGAAACTTTACAAAAGTTAGCTTGGTTTTCTTACCTGCCGTAAGAATCTGCCAAATATTTGACTCCCAGCGAGCCCAGTAAGGCTCCAAAATCTTTAATGCTGACAGAGAGTGACCACAAGAAAGTAAGACTGTGATCTGAGATTGATCGGTTGTGTCTGGCTCTCCAGGTATTGTTGAAAAACTCTTCGATAATCTAAACAACAATGCCAAAGTGAATCAGTTTGCACTGGTAATTCAATTAGATGCAATGACATGTTTTTTCACTCACACACACACACACACACACGTAAAACACACACACACACACACACAAAAAGAGTTTACAAAGATGTTTTTATTCCTCTTTTTCCATAGATGACTAATACAGTGTTCAAAATCATTCATGTGTTGCTTCTTTTGTAACAGAAACACTTCCTCCACAAGAACTATTTCAGGAATTATTGTCTTGGGATTTTTGAGTGGCTAGAACAACTGCTTCATTTTGTAAAGTTAGAACAGTATACCTGTGAAAATGGAAAACCATTCCAAAAAAGGGAGCCAAATCCAAAGCTGAGACGGAGAGTTACCTTATTTAGTGCTTTATTGAGGCTCTGTAATATGTTTGACAGGCAGCATGCTTTCCAGCATTCCCCTCTGCATAACTGTTATATCTGGACAATGTAGGCCTTTTATGGAATATCAGCCAGACGAGAATGTCTACTTTTTGATGTCTGGAGTTATGTTTTGTTGCAGTTTTATACTTCCAAAAGTAATTCTATTGATCAATGCAGATTGCTTTGTATAGATTTTAATTTACACATCACATTTATAATACAATTTGAAACATAAATCTGTGTGCTGTCCCTCAGATGCTGCTAGCTCTGTTCACCTTGGCCGGAGCGTTGATGTTGCCAGTGTGGTAACCAATCTGCAGGGAGCCGATCACCGCTCCCAGGATGGACGTCACAAGCGTGGCTGTCAGATGGCTCTGCCGCAGAAACAGAATTGAGGTTAGCACCATTTCTTGTTTTATATCTTTTAATTCATAACTAATAAGAGAACGCTACCTCTTAATTAGGTCTTTTTAACCCTTTACATTCTTGTTTTTTCTTTCTTATTTTGGATTGACTACAATCATCATAAAAATCCAAAGTAGTTATGGTTATGATTAAGCAGAAGACAAATACTCAATCCATTACTGATTTCTAACCTTATGACCTCAGTTCATTGATTAACATTCCTGATCCCTCCCATGATTCCAGCAACCAGGCCAATCATATGAGTACTTGTAAAAGTCCAGCTTGGCAAGAACAACAAGGGTTTGGCGCACTGGCAACATGTCCAGAGTTTTAGTCGAGTAAGTGATACTGCCTCGCTATGTTCATTCTGCCTCATTCACTCGTTCACAGAAAAGCATTGATTCAAACAAACCTCCTGAGATGCCATTTGATTGTCTGAGATGGTGTATCACTCCCTCGGGATGTATGTGCATTTATTTTTCTCCTGGTTTTGTTATCTGTAAAAACCAGATAGTGGGGGGAGGGGGAGTCTAGCAGTTGTAGTTTAGGAAGCATTAGTGGTAGTATAGGAGTTTGCCGCAAAATGATAAGAAAAAGACTCGGCTAACAACCAGAGACACTGAGATTTTTTTCTGCAGTGCAAATTTCATATACATATATATATCAAATACAGTGTATATGACTAAATGTTTTTGAACCACAGTGCGGTTCCCCTACAGCATCACAAAACATGTTTCATCAAATAAAAATCAAGCAACTATATGAAACTATATACTTACTGCATACAAATATTTTTGCTTGTCTTTTTGCATGCTTACCTGTGTTACTGCATCAACCAGACTGCTTGATTTGTCCCGAAACAAAGTTGGAAGACCATATCATCTATATAAGATTGTCCTCACCACTGTTCCTGAGTGTCCTACGTTGATCGCTTCTTCATCCCTGAGTTTTAGATATGACTGTGTATCTAAACCAACTACCAGCTGAAACTTCACACACACACACACACACATTGTACCAGTGACCACAGTGACGAAGTCACACCTAGCTGGTGAATTTGAGGTATATCTGATAAAATGGCAGCAGTGGGCCTCCTCTGGTTCTCGTGAATCAGCTGATCAACATCCTGAGTTCCCACTGACTCTGGGTCTGCAGCACTCAAACCTCAAATTGCTTTGAAAACCGCAAAACTGCCCCCAGTTAAGGTTTTAAGAGGAACCGTTTGGTGCTTTGAGTAGGCCACGGTTTATAATCGCATTTATCAAAGATGGAAAAAGTCAGGTACTTTTGTTATAGTGTGGCATGCTAAAGTTTATCAAAGCCTAAATGTCCGTGTTATCACGAGGTCGTACTGCATTCTTTGCAGGGTTTCCCATGCTTTGGCTGATATGTTCTTTGGGCACCTGGTAGCATTTTCTGTCTTGGAATCCCTCAAGTGACACACATCTGTGCATGGTAGGTAGTTTGTTTTTTCAGGCTGGAGTCTTTTGGAAGTATAAATCTGTATTCTTGTATGGTTTGCCCTTTTAAAACAAATTGCTTTAGAGAATTTAATTGAAACAACAAAGATTAACTACAATGGGAGGTTAACTAATTGGAAATTTAGGGTAAAGAACTGCTGCTGCAGAGGTGGCATGTGGATGGAAACGACAACACCCATCACACAATGCTGTCACAATTTAGGGCCTCAGGGCTTTTATTGATAATACTGTGATGAAGTATAAGCATGTATGTGTACTTTCACTCCTCTTCCTCCTGCTTCCATCAGAAGAATACTAGCACGGAAATGCAAGTTTAGTCTCAAAATGTCAGTATGTTTGCTGACGTGATAAACTCTTCCTGCGTTTTTTGTGTGTATTTACAAAGGAACTGCTCTAAAATGGTCCCTATTCATCTACTGCGCACATTACAGCGTTACCCAAAACTTTAATGATGGCAGTCAAATACAGAAACTATGCAAAGGGGGAACACGTAAAACAATAATAAGTTTCTATCTGATTTTGGCATAATTGTGTCTCTCTGATTTCTAATAGTCATCCAAATAAACCTTATGATTGAGTGATTGTTATAGGTGATATGAACTCATCTCCAGTGTTCACCTTTGAAGATATACTATTCCGAAAAGCTTAATTTCATTATTCCATTGCTTTATTTTCAGTCAGTGAATGCTCAATTCTTTTTGCTACATCCTGTTTCTTTACATGGCTCGTTAATGTTTAATCCAATCCAGTTTTATTGAAAAACTATTGCACAATCGAGTATGTGCTTATATCTGTGCTCTGCGCTAGAATTCACTAAAGACAGATGTTTGAATATGCTATATGTTTGCTCAAAATGTGGGTTAAGTGTGTCTTTATGATGAAATCATGTAAGCTAAGCACACACCTGTCTCGTAAGAAATTCCACAAGCCCCCTAACAGTATTTCACTGCAGAGACGCATAAGCCAAATGAATATAAATACTGTAAACATTTCCCACACTCAGTGCAAACCACATCATTTGAAAACAATTTTTATCATTAATTTTAAGTTGAATACGTTCGCATAAATATTAAATGGCCCCTGGAGCGTGGAGGTGATGAAAAGCAGATCATCTCAGCTACACTGAGTCATATGTGAAATGCTTTATATTACAGACAGAGCACAATTAAACGTTATACACAAAAACAGATCTAGCTTCATATTTAAAAACTAGTTCTTGTAAGCCCTAAACTGCTGACTGACATCATAGCTTTGATGTTAACGTTTTTGATGTTAAATAACATGAGATTGCTCATTTCATACAACAAAATGAAATATGTGCTTTCTTCAGCGTGAATAAGAAATATAATCCTTCCAAACTGAAACTTACAATAATTGGAACAGTTCCTTAAGGGTGCTCTATTTTTAAAGAAAGCCAATCACAATATCACAAGACTATATTTATCAGTGATACTTATATTTAGAAGTTTCTGAGCACAAACAAGAAAGAGAAGTGTTTTGGGGCATTTTAGAGAGGGGTCAAATGCATCATCCACCTGCAAGCTCTGTTCTGTTCTGTGCAGCTGAGTTCTTAATCAGCGTGTGGATACGCCCGTCTGGAATATGACCTTTGACCCCTGAGCCCTGGCCTCCTGACAGGCAACCCCTTGACCTTGCAGTCAAGCAGCTGGGCAGGTTCTGCACAGGCACACAAGGGCACAAATGGTGAGCGGTGTGCGCCGTCATCCCCCCACCGTTAATGTTTCGCTATCACCGAAGCTAATGGCTCGCTCTCTAAATTACCTGTAATGGTGGTTTTGGTCTGTTTCTAAGCGTTTCAGTGCGCACAAAGGAGGATAAAAATGCGCAAATTTACTCATCACTACTAAAACATGTGGGAAATATTAGATGGTGGCTAATTGTATTGGACAACTACTTCTTGGACTGATTTCTTCCACACATGATGCTTGTAAATAGACAGTGAGGAAAAAGGTTGAGTCATTAGATGATTACTGAAACTGTTTTAGAATGCATTCCTATCGACTGAATTATCAGCTTTGCTGTAAAACCATCACTTGAGAAATGTCGGTAATTCAAGTTGATGTCTTTAACTCCAAGTCCAGAATCAAAAGATTTTATCTATGCACTTTCTGAACTGCTTATCCTGAATTAGATAAGTGATTTAAAAAAAAAAAAAAGATTGTCACTCAATTAGTGTTTAAAGAATTTAAAAAAATACTCACTCCTTTAAGAAAGTTAGATAACACAAAGTTGTAAAACTCCTAAACATTATTCCGCTCCTATTCTGCCCACGTCACTTTCAAAAATCCAAATTCCAGCTTTCACCTATGAAACCCCTCCGGCAACCTGCCTACCCTTCACCCCACTTTCAACAAAGGAGAAAGAACACACACACTAACACACACACGCACATACATCCCTAAGCAGCTGCGTCATTATAAAACTCTTTTGAACTTCACACTGGAAGTCAAATGCCACATGTGTCAGTACAAGACAGATGTACTGCAGCTGCCTCTTGGCTCCAATTTCATCTGTGATACCAGCCCTCTCCACCGCCTGTCTCCCCCTTACCCATTTCCAAACCACTACCACCCCTTCCTTCACCAGCAACCTCACCACAAGCCCTCTTCCTCCCATCATGCACTGATAAAATCACCAGCACCTTTGAAGTATCATCACTAAATCAGGGCATCTCACAGCGCACACAAATAATTGTGCATAATAGGTTTCCACATTCAAACATGGGGACAATTAATTATAGTCCTTTTTTAACATGGACAGGAAATTCCGCTACAAATTTCCCGTGGGATCTTTTATTTATTTCAACCATTAAAAACACAAAAACTACACAAGTCTGCAGAGAAATTCAGTAAAAACATTATCTTTATTAAAATATTTCAGTTCATGAAATTCAGTTGGCTTGCTTGATGCCGTATCATAAGTAAAAACTTGTTGTGCAGACACTGGATTCAATTTGTCAAACTCCAACCTGCAGTGAACAATCTTCACCATTTGGGGTCAATATTGAACTCCTTCGCCCTCCTTTCAGAAAATTTGTCTTCTGTTAACAGCTCTAAATGCTTTCAACTGCCCAGAAAAGTATAGTTTAAGGAGATGTAATATGGAGAGTTTCCATATTTCTTTAGAATCATTATCAAGCTTTTTAAAATACCACTGTTTATATTGTAGTGATATTAAAGTGAGTCTAATCAGTTGGATACTTAGTGTCACACAGTACCTCTACAGTTTCCTCAACATGATTCTGTAAGAGATATAACGTGGTTCAAGTTTTCAAGTGTCTTGTTGCTGAATTCAGTCCTCTCTGTCCATACAACAGTGAGATGTTAAATTCTTCCATATGTTGGGCAACTAGATAGCTGCTTTAAATTTATGACACACTTAAGGTAGGAAACAGCATGAAGTATCCCAAAGAGTGATACAACCCAGGTGGAAGCTACTACTGCGTTGTAGCTCATAAACTTTATGAACATTTTCTGAGCTTTGCACTTGACTGATTCATTTTGAGATTAAAAGAAAAAAAGCCTTTAGCCTCTTTTGTTTTGCTTGTGTCTACTTTGACACAAGTTTGAAAATGTCAATGATTCTGAGCAGCACCCAAATCCACATGAATCATTTTTATTCAAAAATAACACATTTCAGTGTTTTCTTTTCCATGGATCTAATTTCCTTTGCTATGAATAAGAAACATTATCAAAACACATTTGAATGGTGAAGTGCAAAAACAAGTGAAACAAAAAAAAGCTGTCTTTTCTCTACCAAACTGACATGCTACAAGACTCCTTCACTACATTTTTCCCATCATGATTTGTAGTGATTACTAGCCTTTTGGGCTGTTTTAGATCTTGCATGTGATTTGCAGCTCTGCAGCGTCTGGAAGCACTTCAGCAGACACACATAAGCTCACTGTGTTCAAACCTGGATTGAAACAGGCACTCAGGAGAGACTGCACAGCCCTCAAAGAAAGGCTGGTTTCTTTTCTGGTTTCTTGGCATAACTATCCAATTCAAATTAGATGCAACTGGACTTGTGATTGTAGTATATTAAGCACCAGATACTGTATAAGTATGGTCCTGACTGTGCGTAGTGATGACGACGGGAATCTTAAAACACAAACTGAAATAGTAAACTAACCTCACCATAGTTAAAATAAACAGTCCTCAGAGCTGACAACGTGCAGTCTCGCCTAAGCATTTCCATGTTGTGAATTAGCTACTGTAACAGCCTAATGTTTGACATGATATAAACAGAGAGAAAAGTATATCTTTTTTTACAAGAAGCCAGAATGACAGTGAAGTAAGTGAACAATCATACACCCCCACAGTGACATTTAGTAAAACAAAGCTTATTGTACATATTTACAAAAGGAGCTTTTTTTTGTCTCATAATTGTGAGCCATTGCAGGGACTATTGGGGAATACAACTCATACAAAGTATTTAAACCACAACAGCAAAGGCACGATTCTCCGATTGTTCCCAAATGTGAGGATCACATTTTTATTTTTTACACTGCAAAACTAAAAGGAATTTTTTCCCCCTTCACTGCTCATAAAATGTTAGCATTTATCAGACACCCGGGGCAGTATTTTTCAAAAGACTTACTTCAGTGTCTTACATAAAGTGGAAAAGCTCCACTATGAGTAGTTTTAAGTGTTTGAGACAACAAGACTGACATCAGCTGTTTGAGGTCAGACAGTAATTGTGTTTACATACACAATACATAGTCTGACATTACTGGGAAGGCTCCAGTATTTACTGTATGAACTGCCACGCCATATCTTGTGAGGTAAACGTGAATATGATCGATGAAATGGGCTGAGATTAACAAGATATTGAACCATGTGAACTTCTTACTCTATTTACTGGTTAGATTAGTCAACTGTGGAGTTGTTTTTCTCTGATACTAATAATATTTAAAACATCTTTATTGGAATGTAATCTATTTAGAAAACTAAAATCTCCACAAGAGAGTCAAAGATTTGTTCAGTTTGGATCAGTAAACACTAGAAGGCAGAATTAAAGAAAGATCATTACATGATTGATTTTGTAAAGAACGGATACTAACATTATAATAGTGTAGTTTAACAAAACCTGCACAATTACTTTTAACACTATATAAACTTATACACAAAAGAATGGGATGCATGTATTATAAATGAGTGGCCTCCACTGTGGTAAGGACACATTTAAATTGAAGATGCATTAGTGAATGCGTCCCATTTGTTTATGTAAGCACCAATGCAATGGATTCTGATCACATAGTGTCAGACTTGGAACTTAAACAACAATTTGCCAGCTCCTCATTAGTGTAAACTTGAGATCTATGTTACTTTATACAAATCAGAGGTGCCTGGTGCAATAGCAACTCTGGAGGCTTGGGAAAATTTAACCAAATCGGTAACACATGAAGACAGATTTTGTTTCAGAGCTCAAACTTTGTTTTTTTTCCGGGAAAATATTTTGCGGCTCTTTTTGCAAACAGTGTGTTTGTTTTGGTATGAAATCATTTGTACAATTCTACTTGGTTTCAGAAGAGCATCTATCAAATTATCTGTCATTACAAGGTCTAGTAGCTCGCCCATCTAACATAAAGCTTCTCAATAACCCAGCTCTAAAAACACCTGTGTGGACATTTATGCTAAAATGCAACCCACAACTTTATACGGCTGTATTTTAGAGTTGTTTGTCTCTGTGTGGTTACATGCGTGTGGTTGCATTCCTGAATTCTTTCATTACTTCATATTTAATACTGTTTGTTCGTATTCCAACCTTTGTGTAAACATGTTGAAATGTCTTCCACTGGGTGCAACAGTGTAAAGTTCCATGAACATCCTGTGTGAAATCTTTTACTAGCAGCTGTTTTGCATGTTTAATTTGTCAGAATCTTTTACTATTTGTTCTATTATTATATTTGTTTTTTACAAACCCATTTCCAAAAAAAATTCAGAACACTGTGTAAAATGTAAATTAAAAAAAATGATTCCACTGATTTGCAAATATCATAAACCCATATTTTATTTAAAATAGAACACTGAAAACATATCACATGTTTAAACTGAGACATCTCATGAAAATATTCTTTCAAAAGTAAGTGGTACCAAAAAGCCAGCTTGTGGAAAATTTCACAACTAATCAGGTATTCTTGGAGTTTCTCAGAAGTAAAGATAGACAGAGATCCACCAACCTGCAAAAATGCGCATCTCCAAATTGTGGAACAATATTAGAATAATGTTCCTTTTAAAAGCGATTGAGTGTAAAGAGTTTAAATGTCATATCATCTACAGTAGATAATATGATCTTGTGATAATATCACAAGTTTCACAAAATCTGGAGAAATCTCTGTGTGCAAAGAATAAGACTAAAATCACTATTGTATGTCCGTGATAGCTGGGACCTCAACTGGCACTGCATTAAAAACAGGCATTATTTTCTTAAATGCATGTTAAAGCTCTATCATGCAAAGAAGTAGTTATATGTGAACATGATGCAGAAACACCATAATCTTCTCTGGGCCAAAGGTTATTTAAATTGGACTAAGGCAAAGTGGAAAGCTGTTCTATGGTCAGATGAGTCCAAATTTCAAATTCTGTTTGGAGAGCAAGCGCTTAACATTCTCCTAACTAAAGAGGGAAGAGAGCATCCGCCTTAATAGTGCTCAGTTCAAAAGCCTGCATCTCTGATGGTATAGGGGTACATTAGTACCCATGGAACTGGCAGCTTGCACCTCTGGAAAGGCATCATTAGTGTTCAAAGGTAGATGATATCTTGTTCAGGGAAAATCGTGCACATTTTGGCAAAACGATGCTTAACTGCATGATGAATCTTTTATAACAGCATGGCTTCATAGTATAAGAGTCTGGGTGCTGAACTGGCCTGCCTGCAGTCCAGACCTTCCACTAACTGAAAACATTTAGTTAATGGAACAGAATTCATCTCCCAAAAGTCAGACAACTGGATTGGAACAGAGGATTCTACACAGTGGTAAATATGGCTTTGTCTCAATTAATGTGAGATACGTTGCTACCAATAAATTTCAAATGAGCTTTTTCCCAGAAAATGGTACATTTTCATTTGTAAATAAAATATGGGATTATGAGATTTGCAAATCTTTGCATGCTGTTTGTATTTACATTTTACACAGCATCCCAACTTTTTGGGATTTGTTGTTGTAAATTCTCTTTTTTTGATACTACAGAATGTGAAAATAAATTATGAATAGTGAAGAAGAGTGTTTTTGCAATGTTTTGGGGTTGTAGAAAAAGTAATTGGGTAAAAAAAAAAGTGACATCCACTTAGCTACCACTGTCCGACACCGGTGCGTGCATGACACTTGACAAAAACCAGATATCCAAAATGTTAATGTATCGAGAAGGTTTTGTGCAGGATTCACGCAGCTAATTCTGTGCTGATGATCCATAGACTCAACTCACAGTTTAATTCCGATACATGCCACTCACATAATTGTTGCTTCTTCACATAGAACATTACACATTTGTTTTAGTTGTTCTAGACTGACTTGTAGAGTGCGTTTTAAATAAGCACCATTCTTTTTTTTGTATGTGACTCACAGCAAGATCCTCTTTTATAGGTTTCCACTGACCTGTGTGCTGCTTTTTGTAACAAAGGGCCTGTAATTTTAATTCACATGGCAAAAAAATGTGTATTAGTACCGCGTGAGGACACACAGAAGGAATCAAAACATCAGACTTAACACACAGAGAATTGTGGTAATATACACATACTTGCTCTTCCAGTGGTGAGCCTGTCATCTTTGCAAATATATTCTCATTCTTACCTAGATATTTTTCAGTCACTTCAAGACAGGAAAAAAACATAAAAACAAATAAAATGTCAAACATAGGGAGAAGAAAGTGCAAATATTTTGGTGCCACTTTGTTTTTCTTTTCCATTTTTTTTCTGTTCATTTACAAAACTCAGGAACTTCTTAATTTTTCTGCTCCATCTGTCTCTGTCCTGTCAGCAAGCGCGCAGATGCCTTCCCTCTGTGCCCTCTGCTCTCATCTCAGCTTCTTGATCCTTCTCTTCTCACACCAGACGTCCTACTGGAAACATGTGCAGGAAGAAGAAGACAAAAGAAATCATTTAATAATGAAAGTGTAGGAAGTAGAGATTTGTTACTACTGATGTGGGCTGTGTTTCTGAGTACAATTAATGCAAACCCTTCAGTGCGCAAACACGTAACAATGCTCTTTGTGCTTTTTTTTGAACATGTGAAAGTCTCTGAATGACCATGTGGAAAGCAGATTTGTCCTCAGATTTTTCAAACAAAGCAGATTTTTAGTTTAATTTAATCTGTTACAGAATTCATTTTATTTTAATTTGTCAAACTTTAATTATATCTCTATATTATAGACATCACCAGCATACTGTCTGCTCTCCATCATTTTGTTTTTTAAGGTAATTAAACTACACGAGTAATATGTACTGACTCAAAATGTTATCTAGAACGGTAACATCAAATTTCCTGCAATTATGTTAAAGCCAAGCAAAATCTGTAAAGTTGTACTGTTTTGCAGTTGCATGGGACAGTGAACTGAACTGCGCATGCTGCTAACTCATCAATCAGATGTGTGGGTGTATATGTTCAGGGGCAAAAAGGGAGTAGAAGAGAAAGATAAAGAAGGAAAGAAAGAAGAACAGGCCTGGGAGAAAGCAGATGGGTCAAGAGCTTAGATTGCTTGCAGATGGCTGTCAGAATAGAGCCGAGGTCCTCCTGTTAGAGCTCAGGCTGTGTTTCAAGCCATGTGCCTGGGTGTTCACTTTTATATGCAAGCATTTCTATGCTGAGTTAAGTTTGGTTTAAATTTAGTGCATTAATAATGAAATTGTATTTCTGTATATAGGTAAATTCTTTCTTTCTGCATATTTTCTGTGCAGTGTTTGCTTGTATGTGTAGACTTTACTGGCCTGCATGAGGTGTTCAAAAGCCTGGGGGTAGGGAGCTGCAGGTGCAATATCTGTCAATAAGCTGGATTTCATTTCTACGAAAAAGAAGCCCAGCTGATTTCACTCTAGAGGCTTCTGTAGTCTCAGATGATACATTTACAAGCAATAACTCAGTTCAGACTTTAATGCATCACAATCCTTCCACTGTCCTATAAATCAGCAGTTACATTCCACATGAGCGATCCAGCGGTGGATGTTTTCATCTATACTTTACTGTAACTGTACAAAATAAAATATTATAGCCAACTAATCTTTCCACGAGTCTGTTTAATCTAAGTGACTACTGTTTGCAGTTTTAGCTTTGACGCTTTTATGTAAATAAATATTGCTTTAGGTCCTGTATGTGACCAAAACAGAATGAATCATCTTACCCAGGTCGTAAAAAATAGTTTCTGTGCTTGAAACAGAAATACCAAAAATCTCTACTGCCTCTTTGCATGGAAGCAATGAGGTTAACGTGATCCCTTGTCATAAGATAATTTTGATTTCCATTTTTAGTATTTTATATTTGGCACCATGTCTCTGTTCTGGGACTCCCCCACCCTTCCATGTGCATACAGCCAGTTGGAGAGAACAGCAATACCCCAGCACAGAACAGGGCATATACCAGTGACAACAGATATGACTGATTAAGTCAGGCACACCATGTAAAAGAAGTGTTAGGGTATAGGGGGTTTCAAAGGTGCTTGCAGATGTGCAACAACTGTGGACAGTTGCATGTCCAGCTAAGAAATCAGCTATTGTTGGCTGGTAACAAGATCAGATGATCTTCTGGGATTGAAGTTCAGCTTGGCCTTTTTGCCAAGCCTTCAAGAGACTGAGTTCTTAATTAAAGGTTCTGGATATTGGTTTGGTTGACACATCTCAGCAACATCACCTGAAACTTGAGGACAATGCCTCTGGACTGGCAGACCAGAGTGGCGGTAACCCTTTTTAAGAGGGGGGACCAGAACATGTTCTCTAATTTCAGAGGGTTCCCACTTCTCACCCACCCCAGCAAGGTCTATGACAATGTTCTGGAGAGGAAAATCCATCTGTTAGTAAAAGCTCATATTCAGGAGGAAACATGGTGGTTTGCAATACTGGACCAGCTCTTTACTCTCTCAGAGAGAATGGAAGTTTGCCCAACTTGGACAAGGCATTCGACTGCATCTGTTGGAACATCCTTTGGGTGGTGTTCCAGGAGTGCAGGTTGACTGGCCAGTAGCTGCAGTTCATTCAGTCCCTGTACAGTGGTAGCGAGAGCTTTATCACCGATTCCTTATAACTTTAATGGATGGAATTTATAGGTGGAGCCAAGTGTTGGAGGATCTCTGCTCTGGTAGCCATCTGCAAACCACTTCTTTGCAGATGATGTGGTTCTCCTGGTCTCATCAACCAGCGACCTTCAACTTGCACTAGGGTGGTTTGCCGCTAATTATGTAGTGGTAGGATATGAATCAGGGTGTCAAAGTTTCAGAGTATTGTTCTTATTCAGAAAAGGGTGGAGTGTTAACTCCAGGTCATCGACAAGCTATTCCTTAAGTCGAGGAGTTTAAGTATCTTGGGGTCTTGAGTTCACGAGTGTGGGGAGAGTGAAGTGGGAGAATGATGGCAGATTGGTGTGGTATCTGTAGTGAGGCGGACACTATTGGCTTGAAGACGGAGCTGAGGGTGAAGCTGTCAGTTTACTGGTTAGTCTATGTTCCTACCTTTACGGCCATGGCCATGAGCTCTGGCTAGTAACCAAAAGAATGAGATTGCAGGTGCAAGCAACAACAATGAGCTTCCTCATGAGTTGTTGGTCTCTCCATAAGGGACCTCTGTGATTCAGGTTGGCTCACAGCGGTGCTGCTACATCTCCACATTGAAAAAGAAGCCAAGTAAAGCCTCCTGGATGTTTCCTGGATGTTGAGTAAGACAAGGTGGCCTGGGAGAGGGAGGTCTAGGTGTAACTATCGCCATGACCCAAACCTGGATAAGTGAGGATGGATGAATGAATGGATGGTTTTTCAGACATAAAATGAAGTATTTGGCTAAAGTTTGTCCTTTCTCACATTAATGGATTTTTAAGTGGTAGTATTCGTTGTCATAAATCCTTTACCTTGGCAACACTAGTGGCATGTTCTACCTGTTGAGGCAGGTCCACAATATTTCCTAAGAGCTTTTTCCACTGAAGTCATGCTGTTCCTCTCTTTAGCTCAGATAAATGTCTCTGTTGTGAGAAGCTGAGCGACAGTTGTGCTGATGAATTGGCTTTGCAATTACAAGGCTCCAGAGGAGCGAATGGTCCTCTCCCTCCTCTCTTCCCAGTCACTAAGGACACTGTCTGTGCCATTAACAACACAAAGCTCTCCAGCCTCTCCCTGGACACCTTGGCCCCACTTCTGATAAAGAGCTGAAAGCAGATCCTGTCTAGCAGTGAATCGCCTGGCCTCACCTGGGACTGACCAATAAAGCCACTTGGCTCAAGAGCTGGGAATCATGGTATACCTGTGCATAATGGCAGCAGGGGGGAAATCACTTTGCTAAGACGAGAGATACACTGGCTTGAGTTTACTTTCAGTTAGGTAAAAACAGCCCATTGAATGACTTTTGTAGCAAATTCCTGAAGCTAATGATATAAAGAAGTAATGCTTTCCTGTCAGTATCCTCTCTGATGACCTCTTTCACATCAGCCCAGAATCCAGAAAGTCAAGCTGATGTCACTGTAATTAAAACACAAGTGGTGTTGGCTCTGAGGGGGCAGGAGTTCTCTAATGGCCCTGCATCCCCAGTGCCAAGGCTGCTCAATAATGCCCTCTTTTCATTCCTGCCAGACGTAGCCAGAACAAACAGGAGAAGAAGACAGGAAAGCACTAAGGGAGACAAGAGGAAGACAGGAGTTTGACAGAAAACAGAAAAAGCATAATTCTGTGTGCTAGACTGTCTCATCTGTTTTTGTTACTCGTCTCGTCTACATAACAGCACTGAATTATTTATTTGCCTCTGCCAGGTGAAATAAGTTTATGAATACCTCCAGTGATGAGCTCATTAGTTTCCTTCCTAATCTCTGCTTAAAGACTAAAAAAAACATATTTATATGACCACAGACTTATTTTTAATTAAAGGATTATAATTAACGTAGATGGCATAAAAAAAGAAATCCTATTGGTTTTACTTCTGTAAACAAAATGAAAATAAATCCTTCAGGTTTTGAAACCACCTTCCATCACATTCCCATCATGTGATTCACACTGGAGTGACTTCAGTTTGCTGTCAATCTGACAATACATGACGTTCTGCATGATGTACAAACCATCACATTTAGAACTTGTTGATTAGCCTGTTTGTTTTAAGTGTTATAGCAAAAATGAGCAAATCCTCATTCACAAAGCTCGTGCTATTCTTGACAGCAGGTGATGCATACTGCAAACTAAGGCCTCTGTAGTCACTCTCACTAGATCCTCAACATCCTTTAACTGTGTATGACCCTGTGAGGTGTTTGTGAGCACTCATACATGCACAAGGCCATGTGTTTGCACTTACTGTAAAATGTGTTTACGTATTTCTAAATGGAATTAAGCCTTTCGGGGGGAAAAAAGAACCTTGTTAACCTTGCTCAACTTGTTTAACAGTGAAACATTCTTGTGTTTTGTTCAGGAGTTATCTGAGCTTCCAGACCTGTGGCTTACCAGTTGACTGACTGTAAAAAGAGATTACAGAGAATACAATCATTGGCCTTGGCTTCATCTGTAATGACGTTTCCACTGTCTTCAGAGGATGGATGCCACTCTTTTCAGGAAATATCTCCCAAGGTATTTAGATATTTTTCCTTTGCTTTTGCCAACATGTCAGGAGGGAGAAACCTCATACAGATGAGCTCTACTCTTCCTCAAATGCTTGAAATCCTTCAGCAAAAAGCACACACTGTAAACGGTAAATATATCAAGCAAGAACCCGATGACGATCCGGAGGACAGTGCCTGATAAGATTTAAGGGCTGACAAAGGCAGCTTCACTTAAACCACTTAGGCCATTAAGGAACAGCTAGGCATACCTGAACACAATGGCTGTCTCTTAGTCAAGACAGTGAACAATGCCATATGTTCTTACAGGCTCTAGCTTCTTTCTGCAGGCTCTCTCCCTCTTCTTGTCTTTATTTCATACTTCACTTTCTCCACAATCATCAGCAGCTTATAGTGCCTGAGTGGCAGCATTAGGAGCCATATAAAGCTGTCAGGCCATTTACCTCCAGCTCTTAAGCATGAAGGTGATAGATTCAGTGACTGTAGTGAAACAGCTAGACGAGCCTCCTCTGCTCCAGCAGAGGAGGCTGTTTATCCTGGCAGCCATGCCCGGGGTCCAAGAACCCTGACGTTATGCCCGCTCAGAGCCACTGTTCTGCAGACACCGGAGGGCAGAGCCAGGGTAAACACATGACCTCAGTGTTATGTGGCGTTGAATAGGGCTGGCGGTTAGACTCAGCAGCACCAGTGGGATCAATCACCACTCACTGAGGGGAATCCCGTTAGAGTGATCAAGAGGAGAAGAAGACAGGAAGATGGAAAAGAGCAGCGGGACGGACTTAAAGGTCGATTGATGAGTTGGTCATAATTTATTTGTTGTTGCTGTGACTTACAAAAAAATGTAATTAACTAGTGGGCCAAAGTAATTGTGTGTTGATAACAAATCACACAGGGAATAGCATGCACTAGTACTAGTTTTAAATACGCCAGACTGTCACATTGCACATGTACGAATATGTGTTAATGGATTATACAACAAGCCAACTACAGCTCCTGAAGCAAGAAGCAGAGTTAGTGAAAGCGTATTAGTTTGCCTTACTGAACAAATTTGTCCCTTGCCTTGTCCCTTGGTTGCCACTTGTTGTTGAGCTACCTGCAAAAAAGAGAAACTGTGATTAAACCTAATGGGAGTGGATGTCTTCTTTTTGGGTTTGTTGGGTCTTTTTTTTGGTCACACAGCAAATGTTATATTTTAAGTGCTTAAGGTAATTTGGCTATTAATGGATATTAATGCTTAAAATATAATTTCTTAATATTCAGCACCAAGTAAAATTCTACTCTCCACAAATATTTGAACTGCAGCTGCTCTGAGAATCGTCGTTGTTGTTAGGCTTGTTTGACAAATGCTAATAGTCTCTATTAGGAGCAAACTTATTATTAGTACTTCAGTTTTCCTGCCCAGACTGTATGTGTCTAGGATTGGTTAATGCATCAGTCTTGTCTAAATATTCATTAGTGGGTGCTGAGTGCATTAGCCTTCTTTGGACTGCGAACTGATTCAACTGTTTGTCACTTGCAGTACAGTTACTTCATCTTTTACTTAAAATTACTGTCTTACTGTGACTGACTTCACATTTTTAAGCTATGAAACCATAATTATGTTTATTAAACTATGTAACAATAATGAAATATTAACAACAGACTAAAGCCATAAAAGAGTTGCAGATGAGCTCCTAATGCCAACTGGCATCTCTGTCCAGTTGCTGAAGGAGGCCAGCCATGGTCTTACTGCATGGTTGTGCTGGCACAGCACTCTCAGTCATTTTGATTTCCTAGTTTTCTCCTCAGCTTCCTTCTTCCTCTCTTACCCTCCTTGCTGACGCCCAGGCAGCCTTTCAGCTCCTGCAGGGAAATGGCTTTGTCCTTATTCAGATCACAGTAGTCGGTGAACTTTCGGGCACATTTCTTGGGTTTGGCTTTCTTCTTCAAGTACTTCTTGAAAGGCTTTAGTTCCTTCTTGTTGATGTCTTGACTACCATTGTTATCCAACTGGGCAAAGTACCAGTGCACCACCCTCTCTTCTAAAGTGTGACTGGGGTCAGGCTCCACAAACCTGAGTAGATACAACAGGCAACAGAAACTGAAAAAGAAAATCTGATGGAAACTCTTCAAAAAGTAATGTGAGGGCAGAATTACTTTTGGGACATTCACCACATCAATAGCCACAACTTGGTCAAATTTACTGTTAAATTACAGTAAAGTACTAGCAGAGAAGTTTCCAGGACTGGGCTCACATTTTGCAGTGTCTACAGTAATCCACAGCTTCTTACTACTAACAAAAATGTTGCTGTTTTACAGTTATAATTATTTTAATGTTTCTATTGTACATTCTATAAAAGGTTTATTAGTACAAAATATAACAGGATGTCCTCATCCATGTACCCTGAATTTAATTTCTGGTCTTTGAATTATGGAAGATAACAACTTTGATGCACTTTCTCTACTTTTTACTTCTCAAAAGTCCATTAAAAGAAATGCTTCTGTATTCAGCATTTTAACAACCACCCTGAAGATAAAAGCTGGCAGAAAAACACAGAACACTTATCACCAAAGAAAAATATAATGTGTTATGCCAGAAAGATGTAAAGTAGATTACAGTTGATATTTCCTTAAAGGCATTTACAGTATTTAACTATATGGACACTGTTATTCCAAAATATCATTCAGCTCCATCATACACACATCTTTAGCACCAATGCATAGTAACTCCTGAAGTCTAGTGTCCAGATCTTCACATTGTGTGTCATAGAAATACTCTGTGTTTGCAATTCATTAAACCAAAAGGAAACAATGTTTTCCACGAACAATCAGCCAATGTGTCAGTCTGTGGTATGTGACGCTACTTACCTCCCACCACCAGAGGGGGCTGGTGAGTTTATGGCTTGCACCATGTCTGTGGTGAGGGCATCTAACAAGCTTGTAATGAATTCCACTTTCTTGCCCTCAGGGCAGCCTGGTGCAAATAAAAGACAAAAATACACCAAAATTACCTACCACAACTAATTTGAGCCATTAGGCCGCAATGAAGAGCCTCTAAACCTTCAACACCAGTGAACCACTGTGACAGATGTCAAATAGAAAACGTCTGTTAGACCGTCAAAACCTTATATAGAGCTTAGTGACCAAGTAAATCTGTTAAAAGTGACCAGGTGAAAAACATGAACATATGAATGTATGCTTTAACAGAGGTGAAATACATTGTTTGGCTGTTTTGTTAGACTTCAAAAACACAGAGCTGAGGCACATGGGTGAGGTGGGGCAGAAGTGTGCTGTGATGAGAGAGCTTTCTTGAGCAGAGCAGACCTGTTAACTTTTATGGCACAATTTTGAACACCTTGGGTAGCTTTTTTTAATTGCCCAGATGTACTTTAAAAGCACACAAAACCAGTGCAAAATTTTCCCTCTTAATTGTGTCTCTTAAAGGGAAACTTCAAACGCAGCTGCACTGTAAACTAATCTTCCTATTCTGCCTTTTTTTTTCAGTCTCTTCTTTTTTCTCTCGAGCTCTCTCTGTAGATCCCCCTCCTCCCCCTTTCTCTGAGGATTTGTGGCCTCCTCATCCTCTGCACCATTCACGTCTTTTCTTTCCTTTTGTGTTAGCTCGGGACGGTCTGTGGGAGGCGGGTTGATGCCCCGCCAGGTGAATCCAATTAGCATTTCCTACAGCATGACAAGCTTGAAGAATCTCTACCTCGCTGTGCTTTAATCCAAGTGTTAAATTGGGGTGTTATGAAGCGCAAACTGTTATGTTGTATGTAGCTTATGAGGCAAGGTGGTTCAGGATGTCTGCCAGCATAAAAGAAGCTGCGGGCACATGAAAGCTGCTACAAACATGATTGTTGCAGGTGTAAACATAAAGAAGGGTATTTACCCTTGAGAGACTCCAAATGAGACCCCCCCCCCCCCCCCCCCCACTCCCCCCTCTCAACACCTAAAATGAAGTTAAATACTGGTGGGTGTTGAACAATATATGCAGCAATACTGGTATATCTGTGACAGGCCAGCTGATAAAGTCAGGCTTTACCTACAGAGCAGACACTGTAAATACTGCATTGGCGGCATATGTATGTGGATGTGTTCAACCTTTCAATTTGAAGGCATTTGCTGATTCATGAAAAGTGTAATTTTGCTTTACTGTTTGGTGGACTTTACCATTATCACATTACAAATTGCGTTGTCCTAAACAATTCTATTCAAAGTATAGCCACAGGCAACTAAGGCTTTACTTTACTACAGTTGAACTTAATGGATCTCATCCTTTGGTCTCAGAGGACGAGCTGTTATATGCTCAAAAGGACAGAAGCAATATTGTCATTATGTGTAGTTGGTGAACCTGTAGCCAAATGCTGTTAAGCCTCACCTCTTAAACATTCTTTTTTCACCATTGCCTTGATGTGACAGCCATGAAATATCATGCTTTGTTGTGGCGGTTCAGAACATCCCTCTACAGTACATAAAAATATCTACACTCAGCTCCCTGCAGTATCCAACACCACCAGCAGCCCCCCCACATGCCTTGCCACCACACCCCACAACACTAACACCTTCCATAAAACATACCACACATCTGCTGCACAGTCAGGAGTATGCTTGACTCTGTAAACTCACCAGATGGGGAATTAAACAAGAGTTACAATGCAGCCTTAAATGATGGGGAAACAGAGGGGCAACAAAAGTAAGTGAGCAGTAACAAGGGCAAAGGAGTATGAGCCTATGTTACGACCTCTGGCTCAGGGGGCAATCTGAGTCGTGCATACTTAAAACTTTCCAGGTTACATTCTTTAACATGGATTTAAAAGCAGAATTCATGTGGATTATTATGTAGGACCTGGGCTTTTTTTTTTTTTTTTTTTTTTTTTGCAATAGCCACAAACAGGTATACATTGACAAACCACATCTCTGTGTATATATACTATTTTTCAGTTATTTGCTTATATCATTCATCTTAAATAGCTATAAAGAGTTTTTTTACATTATATTTTGGTATAGGTTTCTCTGTTTTGGCAGTATTGACTTTAAAAGTTCTCTTGAATATGATGCACCTTCCTTGTGGTGCTCAAAGTGCCAAAAAATAAATTAAAAAAACTTAAGCAGCAATCTCTCTTTCCAGCAAAGAGACATTGTTGTGAACAGATTCATGTAAAAATCATTTTCTTTCTACCAAACCACACTTGCCAATCCCTTCATGCTACAGAAGCTTCCATTTACCCATGACAAGCAGCCAGTCCCGGTGAGAGGGAGTAAACATTGATGCTTTCCCCCTCAGCTAAGCTGTGTTGTTGGCTAGAAGCTACTGTTTTGATATTAAAGTCCACTGACAGTTATTATTTGGAAAGCAAGTTTAATCTCTAAAGCAGCTATAAAAATTCTACCAGATAATAAATGGAAAGTTTCTGTACTCCCACAACCAAATTGGATTGAACTGCAGTGAAAAAGTGAAGTGACCTTGCAGTTCTCTGCCTTGGAATGCTTCTTCTGTGTCCGAGACTCGAGATCGTGCAGCTCCATCGCACTCAGGCGTCTGGTACCTGTTACAAAGAGGCAAGCACATGGCTGCATGAGATAGAAGCCGAAGAGGAAAAGCGTAAATCTGTCTTAGCAAAGTGTGAAAAATTGGAGACATCAAAGGAGTTGATTTCGAAAGATCTGAACAGCTAGAGAAGAAAAAAAAAAATCATCACCTGAAACTAAAACCGAACCGAACTAAACAAAAAAACCACCACAATCCAATTAGTCTTCCATGATCTCATTTGCAACATGTAACAAATGATTCAAATTCTGACTTCTTCAAATTACAACCTCTTGCTCTCTTGTCTTTGATCTGTATGCTCTCCCTTCATCTCAGTTGACCGTGATTAACCTTTCTTTATAGCTTGATAAATAAATTGGATTTGAAGTGCACAGAGCTTTTTTTTTTTTTTCTCAAAGCCATAACAAACTGTTCAGCATTACGCGTGGCATGACTCGTTTTCTCCTGGCTATTATATCAGTGGTTCGTGAATACGATGGAAAATGGAGCACATGTGTTTGATTTGTCTTTTTTTTTTTTTTTTTTTTAAGCAAAAGCAAGTTATCAACTCTATATTTTTTCACACAGTCTGCACAGCCACTGATCCAAGATGGGGATATCTGATGGATGACTCTGCACATTGCTGTTTGGAGAAGAGAAACTGGGATGTATGACATGAGTTCTAGTCCAAGTGTATTTTTATGTGAAGGAATAATCACCTCAGGGTTTTCATAAAAGAGCTCTGAAATGCAGATCAGAATTTGCTCTGTCTAAAGTTTCCTGTTGTGCAAGTGATTTATCCTAGGGTGTCAAAAAAAATAAATAAATATGCCTTCTGGTATCTTATTGATTTGAAACTAAACTTGAGCTATTGTCTATTCAAACAGAAGACCATATCTTCAAATTTGAAAAATGTCTTTACTTCAGCTTGTAAAGCATTAAGCCTTTTGGAGAGAGAGAATGACGATTCCTTTTCAGGAACAAAATCAGTTCATTTCTTCACCAGTGCATGCTTATAGTCCACGCTTTGTCTTTGTCTCGCCACTTGTTTGAAGTTGTAATATTCATCTTCTGATTACAAATCACGAAAACATTTTACAGAAACAAAACATGAGCAGTGAACACTCATTTTTTTCGAACGTGTTTTTAATTCAGAGATCCCCCAACATGAAGCTCGTGCACAAAAAATACTGTGCTTTCCTCAAAGCAATGTAAACAGTAGCAACTGCACTAAAAACAAAGTCATTCCAGAAACAGAGTGTTTATAGCTAGCTAACCGAAATTCACATAATCTTGGAACTAATTGCTTTGGCAAGTGAACTGGCAAGAGAGCTTGGATCCAAAACTTTCTGGATAATATAACTGACCAGTCTGTCAGTGGGTCCACCACTTTAGTCTGACTTACAGCAAAAAGGTGTGTTATTCTTGAGCTTCTCCTTTGTTGATCCAAGTGAATTATTTTGGGGGATTGATTGCCTCAAATTTTGGAACCAATATGTGCTTTTCAGGAATGGATTCCTAGATTGGTGATAATGACTCCATAATCATTCATTCTCAGATGCCCTCAAATTAACTACCGTAGAGCACTCTTGTTTAAAATTAGACAGATTATTGTTTTTAACACATTTCAGTAGTCCTGTTATTAGCATGTCAGTTATTCATATGATGGCAGACAGACATGCATATCAAATCAATTAAAAACATCTGTAACTACTATAATAAATGATATTGTTTCTTTACGTGATTTTTCTGATAATCTTACCTGGTAGAGGTTCCAGGAATGGGGCGTCCCGTGTCCACTAGAACACACCAACAGTAGCCTGTGGACTGGTGGCACTGGACGGCCTTGTAAAGGCCTCCAGGCCCACAGTCGGGGATGAAAATGGCCTCACGAGGATTCTGCAGAGCCTCTTCCAGAGCACTCTGTCTCTCCTGGTCACAAGAGGGAACTTTCTCTAAAAGTATTAGAAACACACTCAGTACAGGAAAATAACAGATTTGGGAAACCAAATACAGACAGCACATATACAAAAAATTACTACTACTAAATTAAAATGTGAAATATGTGGAACAGGGTTCTGGAAGTGTTCACTGCAAACCAGATGTTGGCCTCTGGTAACATTTTATGTGGCCTGTGAGCACAAAAAGGGAAAAAATCCATTAATGTGCATTTTATTCAGGACATAAATGACAATTAACAACATAAAGCCTTATGTTCTGACCAGGCAATTTATAAATACAAACCAAAAGTTTTAATATGGGCATTTTCCAGTGAGACTCAGTCATGTACTGGCTGTACAAAGAATCAGTCACACAGTTCCCAGAGACCTGTAACCATCTCGTAACTACTGGTCATGAGGAAAATTTGTATTCTCCAACAGGTTGCAAATGGTTGCTGAGAGTTACTATGAAATTGATTGCTGTTCTGTTAACTCAGGTCTAGAAACGAGTTGGTGATTCCCACGGTAATCATCAGTCACTAAGGAAAAGTGTGTACTCCATGAGCAGTTGGCAAGGGGTTGCTAGAGGCTGCTGGAGGTCACTAACAGGTTGCTGTGGTCATTTGTAGTTTGGATGGAAAATGCTGACTTGTCTGCAAATATTCAACTTTTACTTTGAAGTGTGTTTCAGGTTTGCATTGCACTTTTTCCAAGTTTCACTACACCTTCAAGAATAAATGACATGTGTTTCAAGAGAAGTAAACATCGTCCATGCAAACTATAAGCAACCACAACAATTGTAAAGCCAGCAACCTCAAGCAATAACTTACCTACCAGTCGCAGACACACTTTTTTTCGCAACCTGTGGTTATCAGGGTGTCACTGACAGGTTCCCTCTGAGACTCAGACCTGAATTAATGCCATTTTCACATGTGTGGTGACATATGTTGGGTGAATGCGCCCTGCCCCTTTCTTGAATTCAGCTGCCATCCGGTTCTCCTGAGAATCAGCCACCTGACAGTATAAAAGCTAGGGAAGAGCTGCTTGGTCAATATGCGTTAGGACCAGCCTTGAGAGTATTGAGCTATAGTGGTGTCTTGTCTGAGCTGTGACTGAGAGTTTATCTGGGGGTCATAGCAGTAGATATTACCGGACAGAGGTTTATGTAAGAAAGTAAATGTTCCATTCAGTCATTTGTTCTCCCAGCACCTTTGTGCAAAGTCTGTGTGAGCCCATGTTAAAATACTGCACAGCAAGCATGTGGATGCCAGGCATACTCCCTCCAAGCATGTTCCAGGGAGGCAATTGTCACTGTTTAGTAACAACATTGGGTTACGGAGAGATAGTCACATTCTTAACTGCAGATTTTTTTTAAAAATCAAATAGGTCTTTTGTTAAATCACCAATTTTTGACCACCCCAAGAGTAATGCCATTAGCAGCAAAGTTAAATTATGGCTTTACCCACCGCAGTCTTACATGTTTCTGCTCAAAAACAGGCCTCAACCCTTGAGAGATGCTCCTGCAGCACCTTGTCTCAGTGGATGAAGAATGTATTTATATTCACATCCATTTAATCCATTGCTCACTCTTAAGCCATGTCCAACAGAGCTAACTGCTGAGATAGTTACCAAGGTGATTAAGTGTGCTTTGGTTGCTGCAAATCCATTCTTCATTTTACATTCAAGTACGCTATGATGAAGCCTTAAGCAACAATAACAGAGCCACAGTGACTTTTCTTCAAGGTGGTGACATGTGGTGGTGTTTTCACATTAAGGGGCTGACTAGTGCCAAGACAGTGCCTGCAGTCTCTGCTTTTGCTACCAAAGAATAACAGCTGTATCACACAGCCCCTGCCTATTTCAGATCAGCATCAGAGAAGTTGAGCAGTGAAAACAGAAATTAGATTTCTGGTCTTTACATAATTTAAGACCATCCAATAAAAAGCGGGTTGTATTCAACCCCTTTACGTTAGCAAGCACAATAGCAAATCAGTAGTTGTGAGCACTGCTCTGGGCATTTCAGAATATGTTGCTGTTGATTTAAACATGTAGACATGGTGAAGTTGACCTGCTTAAGTCCAAACCAAGCATCAGAATAGAGAAGAAAGGTTATGTGAATGTAGCATGATTGTTGGTGCCAGACAGGCTGCTCTCAGCATTTCAGATCTACTGGGATTTTCCCACACAACCATCTCTAGGGTTTGGAGAGAATGGTGAGAAAAAGAGAAAATATCCAATGAGCTGCAGTCCTCTGGGAGAAAATGCCTTGTTAATATTAGAGGTTAAAGGAGAATGCCCAACCTGGTTCAAAATGATGGGACGGAAACAGTAACTCAAATAATGACTTCTCACAACAAAAGTATGGAGATGAACATCTCTGAACACGCAACACATTGAACCTTTTAGTAGACTGGATGCTACACAGGCTACCCAAAAAAAAAAAAAAAGAAGATTGAAAGAAAATTGCCTGGTCTGATGAGTATTGCTTTCTGCTGACCGTCATCTAAAATCCACAGACTTCCTGATTATTGCAGTTAACCATGACCATACCTTTGTGAACACTTTCTTGGTTTCTTGTACCTAAATGGCCTCCACAGTCACCAGAGCTCATTCCAATAGAACAACCTTGGGGTTTTAGTGGATCAGGATGTGGTACGACTCATGCCAATATGGACCAGAATCTCTGAGTAACGTCCCCAGCAACATATACAATCAACATTAAAAACAATGAAAGCAGTACTGAAGGCTTTAAAAGGTCCAACCCATTACTAAGAAGTTGTACCTGACAGTAGCTTTGAAGTTTTTAAATTACACACATAATACCTTGTGTAACTCGTTTCTACATGGTTATAGACTCCCTCTCCTCTTTCCTACACCTGTATTTCAAAAGCAAATATAATGATACTATCATGGTCTTTTTACAAATTCACAATAACACAGAAAGCAGTGTTCTGGTGCCTTAGCAGGAAATAATAATAAAAATCACAGTGCTGATTTAAAGGCTGACATTTAAATCATAATGCTGTGCTTAGAGTACAGAATATTATTGTCTGTTACAATGGCTGCCGTATCCATTTAGTCATAAAAACTTGTCTTTTTATGACTGAGACACATGACAGATCTACACTGGTCCCTGATCAATCACGGCTGCCATCTTTCATGAGATGCCTGATGTCACTGGATGGAAGTTCAGGAAAAGAGTGTAAACGGCCAATGGTAACCAGATAGTATTACGATACTGGCTGTCTTGTGTTTAATAGTTCCACCTAGCTACTCCAGCAACATTATTCATCTTTTGCTTTGCTTTGTTTCCAGTTTTGCAAAGCTGAGCAGGGGAAAAAGTCTAAACAGCTGGTGGAGCACTCTGTACTCACGTCAGTCAACTTTACAGAAGTGACAGAATTGTTTTGAGTCTTCCACAATTTTTCCAAGATGCAAGTCTTTCTGTGACACTGACTGACTGACTGCTGTACACGATCCTCGCTTTCATCCCCAGCTTAAACAAGTGCCCTGCTTTGTCCGCATCACGCAATAATCAAGCTGATATCATGAGCGCAAAACTTTATAGGTGGCGTTTTGAGAACACTGGGTCATGAAAAACCTAGCATGTCATTACTTCTGTTTCTTTTTGTTTTGGCAGTGACTGTGTGCAAAACAAAATACTCTCTTATCACGATCCATGGTGAAGTTAATAAAGGTGGAGATGACGGTGGTGGCAGGTTCAGCAGAAGGCCTGAGACCTAGCGGAGGAGAGTGGGAGGTCAGATTTCCTGAGCGTGGCTGCCAGCACAGAGCTAAACGTGTCCTTGCACTAAAGAACATTTTTTGTCCTGTAAGGACTCATACTCAAGTGTTCTTAGTGCTGTCCTCGCCAAGGTTCCTTCACATCCAAATTATTTAGCACTGTTTATTATACAAAGGTTATGCTGGCGCCAGGCACTAGGATTCCCAAAAGAAAATTGTTTTTGTACATATAAATGGAAAAAGGCTGGATGCTTGCAATGTAATCCTTTCAGTTTTGTGTGGACATGAAATTCAATCAACATCGTCCAGGCCTGCCTTGGATATCTGTATTTCTGCTCTATTTATTTTTTGTTTTTGTTTCTTTTTCAATTTTATTTCCCTTCCTTTGACAGGAACTGAAAGACAAGAAACACAAAACCCTCAGAAAACAAATATTGTAGTTTGGGTAAAAAAATGAAACCCACACAAGTGGAAGTCAGGAACAGTTGTAACAATGTGATCATTGTTGTTGTGATTTTCTTCAGGGCAAATTGATAATGAACAAAAGATGGCTGTCTGCAGTATCTTTGATAACACACTTGCCCCATTTTATACGTCTCACTTTGACCATTGTTACTGAGGCTCCAGCCTTAGCAAAATAATTTTTAATCTCCTTTTTTTCTTTATTCCTATGCTTGTTGTGACCACTCTCACTTTCTCAGTCCTTTCCTCCACTCCTCTACATCTTTTTCTTTCTTTTTCTTTTACCCTGCTTCCCTCCGTCCTAATTCCTCTGTCTTTAAACCTGCTCTCCCCCCTCCGATTGCTCTCTTTTTCACTTCACTTCAATGGCTTTCAGCTGTTGGGTAATCACTGCAACATTGTCTGCCTTCTCTGCAGTTAAGATGGCAGAAATGTTAGTAATAGAGGAACTCTGTGAGGATGTATATAGGTGCATGTGTTTGTCTTTACAACACAACAAAAGCATTGAGATGATAGAGACTCATTAAAAAGATGGTGTAACTTTTGAACACATCAACCGAACAGCCGAAACCTGTTTCTGTGCACACTTATTGCCCTTTAAAGTTAAACAAGTGCATCCTGCCCTCTTGCATGACATGTAAATGGGATTACAAGAAACAAAAGTCTTTTTAAGACTGCAAATGTTTAAACAAAATCATGCGCATTAATGACATGATCGCATTATATCCCTTCAGCATTTTTGTTTTTCTTTTGTTTGCTTCACCACGAGAGGAGTGGTGGTTTGTAAGTTTCTGCTTCTCTGTACACTT